CGGGCTCAAGTGTCGACCCATCGAGGTCGAGTATTTTTTTGAAGTTATCCGCTGACAAATTACCAGTTTCAAATTATCGCAGGCTCAAGTTTATTTTTTCCAAGGATTCATATCAAATATGTTGTGTTTATGTCACTATGGCCCCACAAAATTAGGATTTTGATTTCAAACTGACCTCGGAAGCAAAAATTCAGCCAGTTTTTTTTTAAGTACAGGCGGGGAAGACCTTATCTTCCCATGGTCACGCGTTGGTCACACTCTACGTCCAATTTTTATACTCTGATTGGCCAAAATTTGACAGGTGAGTTCATGCGGACAAATGCAGCATCTTGAAAGTTGTTTACTTTGACAGCTGAAGCTGACAGAGTTTTGTGTCAACTTGTGATGTTTTTAACTGTCTTTTTTCCTCTGGATGTACAAAACGAAATACAGCTGCTATCAAGAGTCTTCTGTTATTCATGGCTGGTTTGTTTACTGGGTTTTTGGTTGAGAAATGCGTCGCTTATCAAAATTCGGTAATTCGATTTCTAATGGCATCGTTTTCGTTTTTCACCTTGCTTAATGCGTAAGAGGGTTTAAAAGTCTCAAGCAACTGTGGCCTTCCTTGATAGCTTTCAGGAACTGAATCTCGAATGGTAAGCCTGAGTGATTATTGTATTTGATGTTTGTTTTTGTTATATCTAATTTTCATGAAGTCTTGCACAGTTCACGCCGACAGTTTATGCGGCAAGTTTATGCACGTTGGTAGGATTTGAGTCAATGATCTGACCTAGTATCAGGTTTGATATAAGCTTACAGAACTTTAAAAAGCCTTCAGATATATTTGCTTACCACAGATAGAAAGAAAACGTTCCGAAGAATATTTAGTTATAAATTTGGTTGTAGAAAGAAAACTTTGAGCGATTTTCTTGCTTCAAGGAGTTCACCTTCGAAAACAGTAAACACCGCGCTGGAAGCCGGCTTAACCTTGACGCTTAAAGACTCAGGATTTTAGAGGCACTTTAATACTTGTCTTCGTGAATGAAAATTGTTGTTCTGTAAATTTTTTACCGAATTATATTTCTTTTTTTGATTGTTAGTAGTCTCTCTTGCAATTTTAATAGCTTGTCCGTGCCGTTTGTTTTCATCGTTCATGAACATCGCTTGCAGGAGTACTCAAAAATGTCGCGCGTATCAAACGCTTTATAAGATTACACATCGTTATAACTGAAACCATTAAATAACAAAAAAAATAATAATAAATTCGCTATTATATTGAAGCGTAACTCTATTAAAGTTCATTCAAACACTCGACCACACTGACAGCTCGCCCTATAGAAACGACAACAAGCTGGCCGTATGGGTGATTTTGGAAATTTTTGAACGGTTTCGCTTAAAGCCCACGATTGATTGTCCTGAATATTGACTGAGTGCAATTTGTCTTGAAAAATTGTGAAATATTCGCATTCTGTCCGAGGTCTGTATGATAAATAGTACTGTTTCACCTCAAATGTGATGTATAAAAATTATAAAAGGTTGGTTTATACACCCCCAGATTTGTTGGCAAGAATTTGTAAAGTAAACCTGTCGAACGCAAAAAAAATTCGGCGTGATTTGTCTTCCAAGAATTTGTTTGCGAGGCCTAATCTACTGTGATCTTGAATGTGCTCGAAGATGTTTGCTATTTTTTTGGTGTACATATAAGGTTATCAATTCGATGTAAGATGTTTCACTCTAAAATAACTTAGCCTTTCCCTCAAAAAGTCACATGAATGTGCCCTTGAGTTAAGTGATTTTCTAAAGATCTCAAGTCCTTTTCATAAACCGGGTTCATAATGCTGTAAGAGGACAAACTCGGAATAAAGCCCAACTTCTAAATTCTAGTGAGCACCCACCCATTTATTGCTGTCAGTTTTTTAGTTACATTTGAAAAAATAGGGTCACCCCTAGAAGGTAAGACAGGACAGGGCAGAGGATTGGAAAACGCCCCATTCAAAACAGGAGAATACAATTTCGCCAATCGCCTGAGTTGTTAAGTCTTATCAGTCACTAATGGGGGTCTTTCAATATACAGCTATTTCGAGAAAGGTTGTCGAAAAATATGTGCCCGCGACAATCCCGAAAGGTAATATGGGATATGATCGACCTACTTTTGTTGCTTTCCTTTAGCACTCGCAAACATATATCCATGCCCTCTCTTGCCATTCTTTCAAATTCCTTTGAGGAAAAGCGAACTTAAAACCACCGACAATTCCTTTCGTGATTGTCGCGTGCACTTTTTCTGACAACCTTTCTAGAAACAGCTGTATAAAAATTCAGCACGACAGCGGCGAGTCTTAGAGGATACAAACATGTTTATTCATTTTCTTTGTTTGTGTCCTCTAAGACTCGCCATCATGCTGAATTGTTTTGGAACTTTCCGCTAAACACTGTCACTACTCTAAAACAGTAATCAGTGAAACATTGTGGCGGTGAATGATCTTAGGCAAATAAAAAAAGCTTAAAAACAATACCGTAATTATCGTATTGACGCAAAGCAGGGGCACGCAACGACGGTTTTCTGTAAAATATCTGTTCGGAGAAGCAAATATTGCCCATAATTTTCTAAAAATTTCTAGATGACCGTTAAATTCATGTACAATTTTCGGTAATAAATTCCCTACGATTTTCTAAAGTAAGTTTAATTTTTCACATTTCACTCCCTAGGTTAGGCTATTTTTCGTAGAAAAAAGGAAGCCTAAAATTATTTTCGGATTCAAAAATGTGATGGAGAGAGGAATCAGAAAACATTTCACTTTCAAAATACGTTAAATTGCATCTAAAATTTCGGGGACAATAATACAGAAGCCCTTGTGATGTCGAAAAGATTCAAACACCCCTAGGATGACTGAATAGATATAGAATGTATCCCTAGAGATCTATTTAAAAAGCACTCAGGATAGCCTAAAAAGTGTTTTCAATGTATTAAGGAGGAAACCGTCATTGGGTGCCCCTGGCAAAGAGCACTTAATTCCAGAGAACACTTTTGTTATTTATCACAATTTAATGGCAAAAGGTTTCACGTAAGTGAGAAATACAAAGGCATTGCCATAAGGACGGTCTATAAAAGAGTCAAAGACCCCATACAAGACAGACCTCCTTCTAAAAAATACTCATGTCATAAAAACTAAGATTTAATAAGACAGACAATTAAAAATGTGAAAATGCATATAGAGATATGAACAAAAAAAATCAATAAAATAATAATAATAATAAAAACCTCACACATTTCCAGCTTAAAACTCCCTCACTTCTTTCTTAAAACTAGCAATAGTTGTTGCCTGACGAACAAGCAATGGTAGAGTGTTCCACATGTCCACGATCCTACTGAAAAAACTAAACTTAAATGTATTAGTACTAGCGTAATTCTTTTTAAGAGTACATTCATCTTTTCCCCTTAAAGGATACCGATCAGAATCTGAGAAAAAGTGTACATATGTAGACAGATCAATATTTATATAGCCATTCAGGGCTTTATGCAAGAATAATACGTCAAATAAAAATCGCCTTTGTTCTAAGGACAACAAATTGAGCATTTTTCTCCGTTGTTCGTAATCATCATTGGCCTTCAAAATAAACTTAGTTGCCATTCGCTGAATTCGCCCCAACTTAGAAATATTTCTAGATATGTGTGGTGACCACACAACAATGCACTACTCTGGCTGTGATCTGACCAGGGCAAGATACAGAGTTCTCAATGTGGAAACATCTTTAAATCCTTTACAGGTCCCTTAGCTTGTTAGCCTTATTCGATATTTTATCGATATGAGTGCTCCAAGACAGATTGCAAATTGCATTAGTTTGCATTTCTTCATTTCTCCCTAAGGTTTTGTTGACTCCACGCATATAAATTGTCGAGAACTGGGCCGGGTTGTTCGAAGCCGGGTTAAGGTAACCCACGGTTAGTGCGAAATTTGAACTCGGATATAAGAGCTTAAAAAGCAAATTCAGTTTAATTCTCTTTGCCTACAATTTGATTACTGGATACTCTAAAACGAATAGAGAAATTTATCCGATAGTGTGCTTTTGATAAAAAGAAAAAGAAACCTGGGTTAAAATTAAACCCCGGGTTAGGGCTAACCGACGTTCGAACAGCTGGGCCCTGACTGAAATACGTAATGATCAGCTGGACAGTTTATAATCCTTGATGTTTTGCAGTCGTCAGCATATAATGACACACAGTTGCCAGGCATTACTACTTCAGGCAAATCACCAATGAAAATTACAAAGAACGAAGGGCCCAATAAGGAGCCCTGAGGCACTCCCGATGGAACAGCACACCATGTTTTATGACAACTCTCTGTTGTCGGTCGGTGAGATAATCCTTATATTAATTCAAAGCGTACCGGAAATACCAAAATTACACATTTTTTGCAGCAGGATATTATGTGCCACTCTGTCAAAAGCCTTAGCAAAGTCCAGGAAAACAACGTCCACCTGTTTGCCCTCATCCAAGGCCTTTGACCATTGATGGTGTGACAGAACTATCAGAGTAAAATCATATTATAACTTAGATATCTATTTGGCATTTCATCGCGTTTGTTAAGATCAGTACATTTACAAAGTTTATCAAACCAAAGTAATACTCGTGTTGATGTAAGACAGGTAAGTAATTGAGCTTATTTGAAGCAAGCGTGAATTGAAGGGCAGGCCTTGACGAGAGTAGCAGAAGTCACGTAGAACGAAAGAAGCCCTGACTAATATAGTAGACATAGGTTCAGAAGGTCTATACAACTTTGACGTCTCCACTTTGAGGACGACTAACTGGTCCTGACTATCCCCTCTCCTTGTGCTCCACGCTCAGCTCATGCTTCACCTTCCCCGTAACGTATCAAAATGGCGCCTGCTTTAAAAAGTACAATTGTCACCTGTTCACTTTGCGGTCTCAGACAAGACTACTTCATTGAGATCCTAGGTATATACATTTATGTACACGGCTAAGTGTGACAGTAGTTGTCAACTTGGACATGTTTCCTCTCAGTTTACAAGTTCTCTGTTTCCGTTGCACCTTCGCCATCTTTCAAACTGCTCTTATCAAATGCACCTGCGATACAAATAAAAAAACTAATCATGACGGTTCCCTTTCGTATGTATTCTTTGCACGATTTATTTTAGCCATCGATCAACATGCTTCTGTTGCTCGTTGCGCTAAATGTTTTACCTAATTATCTGGCACAGATTTTTTAAAAGTCAAACAAATAACAAAAACTTAACATATCGAGGAATTATTTATATGCTAAAAATTCAGTAAAGTCATATTGTATCACTTTCAGCTTAAATGTGATTCGTATAATATTTGCACCGCATACTTATTGTTCCGACACGGAAAACTAAGTTGTGGGAGGTAACTGCGACTGCCAGGACAAAAGGCATGCCGAGTAATGAGAGTAATCGACGTCATCCGCCACCAGGGGAGGTGGGAGGGGCCAAACTGCGAAGTCACTTCCACTGAACCCCGTTGAACTAGCCAAGAGGCGGGCAAAAACTAAGCAATTCTAACCAAGGGCCGCAATGCATCGTGCCACAAAAGCGCAAGCCCAAAACCACAGAATTTAAAAGAGTTACTTAATTCCCGCGTCACCGGCCAATTATGTATGCAGTGAAAATATTTTACTTTATTTCAAATTCCTTCGATTTGTTTGCTGTTTGTATACTGATCAGATTATAGCTTGAAGCAGGAGATTGATATCAAGCTAACCATGCTATCCATTGCCGCCCGAGCAGCCCAAGCAGCCTGTGCAATGGTTGCCCAGAATATCAGCCATCTCCTCTGGTACAAAATCGCGACTTACGAAGAGAACTAAAGCAAAACGTATTGTAAAACCCAATCGAATCGAATGAAATACTTTCTTGGGGGCATATTAAATCTTTCGACTTCTCCGCGGAACAAGCATCATAAAAGAGACTATTGGTGACAAAAAACCTCCTTTTAAGAACACACGAAAACGACAAGGGAGTTGCCCTTCGCTCATTTGCCAGAAAAATACCTGTATAAAATAGAAGTTGCAAAATCAAATGCTCCTGTAGCTGCTTGGGCTAGATTAAGTGCCCAGGGAATCTTTCCGTCTGCTTTTAAACTCTCGCCCACCGGTAATTAGTACGTATACCCTCTGCGCTATATCTGGTTCCCTGAGGATGAATCTTTTTAAGCCTAAAAATACTGGCAGCGTTTTTTTAGCCTGTTCCAGGCTCTCAGATAGTAGGGATGAAGCGGTAAAAGGCGGGCGGAGCGACTCAGTCGCAGAGCCTGCAACAGGCTACATTTTGTCTTTCATCAGGTACACCCTCAAGAAAAAAGTGTGTTTAACGCTTACTTCTCTTCTCTGTGATACCGTAAAATTCCGAAAATAAGCCTGCTCCATGTATAAGCCCTCCAAAAATAAGCCCCCCAAACAGGTATGTATGCGCCCTTCTAAACATAAGCCCCCCGGGGCGTTGTACTTGGGAAACTGATTACCCTTAAATACAGAAGTAAAAAAAAGCAAACACGGTAAATTCACTTCCAATTATAAGGCTAGCCCAATCGATTTTGAAACGCAAATTTCCGTCGGTAAATAAGCCCCTCCGAATATCAGCCCCTCCAAAAATAAGCCCCTCAAAAAGGACCTTCAAAAAATATAAGCCCCAGGGCTTATTTTCGGAATTTTGCGGTATATTAATAAATTGTTTTCGTATGCTCTTTGGAATCTCAAATATCGTTTTTTACATTTTCATTTTCATGTAGTTAGTTAGAGAGTCAAGCATGCTTTACGAAATATTCCATAAAAATCGGAAAATAATTAAATTCGGCCTTCTCTCCAGTTGCCTCACTTCCATGAACAGGGTTGGAAAAGACAATAATTAAGAAAAAACTAAGAAAACTCAGTATAACTCCCTTCATAATATTTTTCAAAATGATGCGTAGTGTCACGAACATCAATTTCACAAATTTTGACTAGGATAACTAAAAAACCTAAAAATGATATCAAATACAAACCTTTGAATGTCACATTATCTCCAATCAGCATAAATGGTGCCCACTGCTTGACGTCAGAAAAGCCAGTCTCCCTCATCGACTTCATGGCCTGATGAAGAGATTCACTGGCACTTTCACCATGAACAAGGTGCTCGTAGAAATGACTCATAAACCACATGGTAGCTTTGTCATCTACAGCGCAAAGCGCCGCCAGCACGGCGCGTGCACCCGATGCTAGAAATGCTCGAGCCATTCCAACAATTCCTTCAGCTCTAATCTGACCACTTGCACTATGAGAACAGCTAAGGACAACCAGCTTGGCTGTTAGTCGAACTTGTAAAATTTCAGCCATCGTTAATAAGTAGTCTTCTTCATGTGGAGTTCCGCAGGAGCTTATAGGGGAAAGAGCTATTTCTCCACGTTCGTCATCACCATGAGCAGCGAAGTGAATGAGACTTACTGAATGCATGCTTTCCAGGACTGCCTGCTTAGTTGCATCCTTTCCAAGCAACGGTTGAACACCGAGCAGTCGCCCAATCATCTCTGCTTCCTTTCTCGCCCAAGGCAGTGGGTTTAACTGTAGAATTTTTCCTCGGTAGTATACATCTCTAACGTCTGGCTCCCCTACGATCAGTGCACCAGTTTTACTATGGTAGTCTGCTGGACTGAGCTGAATCAACTTAAGAGTTGTCAAGGAAGGGACAATGCGAATCCTGAAAGTATCCGATAAATACTTTCCATTACCATCCTTTAAAGCAGCGAAAGGAATTGGATACAACAAGTTATGTGGTATAATAATGATTTCTGATTCTTGGAGTAAGTCAGCTACAGGAGCGACTATCATGTTGTAACCATCAGCAAGGGTCAAAGGTTTAGAGTCGTGATTTTCGTCTTCCTCTTCTTCGATAAGACGCAAAGATTCGAAGCTACCACTCTGAGATGGTTTGCATGATGGCAGGGAACTTACACATGAAAACAATGATCGATCTTCGCATTGGTCTTGACATAAATTAAGAGAACCACCAAATGTCTGATTTCCAAACACTTTATCTGCACTTTCTTCGAGTCTCGTTTGTCGAAAAACTGTAATTTTGTTTGGCTTGAGAATCCAAAAGTACATATTATCATCGAAGCAGGAAACATAAAGACAAGAACTAAGTGCATTTTTGTTCATAATGTTCTCAATACCAATCCATGACTGTGGGTTGACTGATACCCCTTTTTCCACAGAGTACTTATCTGAAAGTACGTCTGTCAGTGCTCTGGATCGTCCAAGCTCGGCAAGGTAAAGAGCTTCATAATGACTGCCTGTAGCAATTAACAACCTACAAAGAAGAAGGTAAGGGGACACATGCTCGTCAAAAAAGGAAATTTTGAATTGATCTTGTACTCTTAAAAAATCATGCATTTCTTCGCACTTCTGAATGCTTTCATACAGATTTCGCAGAAGTTCAGTTTTGCTTCCTCCTGCCACTAACTCGTTCAGAGCAATGGTAAGGTGGCTGTTAAACTGCATTTCAATGTCCCCTATTTCGTAACTTATCTCAAGTGCTTTATTAGCAAATTCTTGACTCTTTGCAGTAAGTTGAAATTCTCGCCAAAGTTTTGCCAGATTTAAGTATGAAGCTCCAACACCAGCTTTGTCTCCGCTTTCTTGCTTCATCACCGCTGCTTTTTGAAGGTATTCTTCAGCCTTGGTATATTGTCCAACAGAAAGAAACACAGTTCCTAGATTTCCGTAAGCTACTGCTTCTCCTTGTTTGTCACCTATTTCTTTCGTGATCACTAGTGCTTTTTGAAGGTATTCTTCAGCCTTGGTATATTGAGCAACAGATTGAAACACAGTTCCTAGATTTCCGCAAGCAGATGCTTCTCCTTGTTTGTCATCGATTTCTTTCCTGATCACTAGTGCTTTTTGAAGGTATTCTTCAGCCTTGGTATATTGACCAACAGATTTAAACACAGTTCCTAGATTTCCGTAATCTGCTGCTTCTCCTCCTTTGTCACCGATTTCTTTCCTGATCACTAGTGCTTTTTGAAGGTATTCTTCAGCCTTGGTATATTGTCCAACAGAAAGAAACACAGTTCCTAGATTTCCGTAAGCAGATGCTTCTCCTCCTTTGTCACCGATTTCTTTCGTGATCACTAGCGCTTTTTGAAGGTATTCTTCAGCCTTGGTATATTGACCAACAGATTGAAACACAGTTCCTAGATTGCCGTAATCTGCTGCTTCTCCTTTTTTGTCACCGATTTCTTTCCTGATCACTAGTGCTTTTTGAAGGTATTCTTCAGCCTTGGTATATTGTCCAACAGATTTAAACACAGTTCCTAGATTTCCGTAATCTGCTGCTTCTCCTTGTTTGTCACCGATTTCTTTCCTGATCACTAGCGCTTTTTGAAGATATTCTTCAGCCTTGGTATGTTGACCAACAGAAAAAAACACAGTTCCTAGATTTCCGTAATCTGCTGCTTCTCCCTCTTTGTCACCGATTTCTTTCCTGATCACTAGTGCTTTTTGAAGGTATTCTTCAGCCTTGGTATGTTGTCCAACAGATTTAAACACAGTTCCTAGATTTCCGTAAGCAGATGCTTCTTCTTTTTTGTCACCGATTTCTTTCCTGATCACTAGTGCTTTTTGAAGGTATTCTTCAGCCCTTGTATATTGACCAACAGATTGAAACACAGTTCCTAGATTTCCGTAATCTGCTGCTTCTCCTTCTTTGTCACCGATTTCTTTCCTGATCACTAGTGCTTTTTGAAGGTATTCTTCAGCCTTGGTATATTGTCCAACATATTTAAACACAGTTCCTAGATTTCCGTAAGCAGATGCTTCTCCTTGTTTGTCACCGATTTCTTTCCTGATCACTAGTGCCTTTTGAAGGTATTCTTCAGCCTTGGTATACTGACCAACAGAAAGAAGCACAGTTCCTAGATTTCCGTAGCATGTTCCAACTCCGTCAGTATTTCCAGCCTCAATCATGATGCTGAGTGCTCTCTTGTAAAACTGTTTTGCTTCCTCGTATTTGCTTCTTTGATAGTAGATGTTTGCTAGTTTAAGTAATGTCATCCCTTCTACTTCTTTTTGGCCTGTATTGTGTAGTGTCACTAGAAGCTTTTTACCACATTCTATCGCACGGGTGTGATCGTACACACGAGTATAGCCATCAAGAAGTTTACGGTATACATAGATAAGAAGTGGTGTGGTAAGTTCTTTGATTGTCTCTAGGGCTTTACCGTTAAGGAGCACCAAACATTCGTTAAAGATGTCTACTGCTCTTATAATACGTCCAGTGTTGAAAAGGAAAGTTGCAACAACTGCACCAATATGAATGGTCTGTAGAATCTCCAAGATGTTGTCCATGACGCTTTTTTCTCAACCTTGAGAAAAAACCATGTTAAGAGTAAGAAAGTGGAAACAAGATTCTTAACGTCTTTTTAACTGAACAGTTAAACTTCTTAGGCAAGATAAACAAGCTTTCATGTAAGATTTACTGAGGTAGGTCAGGATTATAAGTGTTGGGCTATCATTTCTTTGGCCTATTCTATACTTCTTGAATCTGCAAATGCAGAATATCTAAATAAATAGTTTTACAGAGTAGTTTGTAACCTACTGTTTACCACCATACACCGTACTGTTAAAAATTCTGGAAAATAAAACTATTTCAGCAAGAAGCTTTTACATCAACAACGAGCTTTATTTGCATGACCATAAGTTCATATAGTATTGCAAAGGCTATTTTAAGAACCAAAATTACGTACATCATAGTGCAATTACGTTACTTTGGTAATAATTTGTCACGAAGATCAAATATTGTTATTGTTAACAATAACAACAATATTGTTATTGTTAAGTTAAGAAATGAAAGAATACGCGAAACGTACCCCTACTGGGATCGGATGATGTTTACTTTTGAGGCGTATCTTCAAGGAAAAACATATGGTCTATCGTGAAACAATGCCGAGAAATAGGCGAAAGTTTTGAAGAAAGTCTTCGAGAAGGTAAGCTTGTTTATAACAAATTTAGAAATATTTTGAATGACTAATAAAACAATTATTGAATTCGGCTTTCATAAGATGAAAAGAATTACGCAGATCTTGGAGGATGTTATCCACCTCGGCCGATAACATCCTCCTCAATCTGCATTATCCTTCACATCCTACTCAGCCTCATTCAATAATTGCTAAATCTTTATTATTTCATATACACCGCCGGGGTATATTGCAAACCAATTTAATCACCAGCTCCCAGCTGGCTTGCTGTATCACCCGTAAATGTAATAATCAACCATAACAGTACCACTAACCGTAAATGTAATAAAAGTCAACCATAAATGTAATATCCACACTGTAATTTTCAGGGAGTTATAATAACTCCTCTAGTGGGGCTAATTTAACTCCTTACAGTGGAGTTATTTTTCGTGGAGTTATTTTAACTCCAAAAAGGAGTTTAAAGAACTCTTTTTCAGGAGTAAAAGTGACCCCAGATATTGAGGAGTTAAAATAACCCCAAAAAAGGAGTTATCCTGTACCTAAAATTTTTACTCCACTTTCAGAGTTAAATTAACTCCAAAAAGAGTAAAAACAACCCCTGTAAGGAGTACAAGTAACCCCATTTCGGAGTAATTTTAACTCCAAGACTGGGAGTAAAAAGAACTCTTTTTCAAGAGTAAAAATGACCCCAAACTCGGAGTTAAATTAGGAGTTAAAATAACCCCAAAAAGGGGGTTATCCTGTACCTAAAATTTTTACTCCATTTTTGGAGTTACAATAACTCCCTAAAAATTACGGTGCACCATAAATGTAATGAAAACCCGAACCATAAATGTAATAAATTATAAACCATAAATGTACTAACATTTCAACCATAAATGTAGTAAGTATACAAAATCGTATGAATTCGAGTACATTTCTTTATTTATGGCACGAGCGATGTTTCAAAAGTTAAAATTATTGTACGAGTAGTTTAATTGATGGTTAACAGTAGTTTTGTCCGGTTGTCAGCCATTTTGCCTGCGTTTCTATCTCACACTTCCTCACTTTTCCAAAGAGGATTCGGTAATGCCTGGTACTGTATTGTATAGCCTCTATTGGCACTCTATAAGCTGTTAATGTTTCCCTTGTTGACCAATCAGAAACTTCATTTCTTCATCCTTTAATGACTGCCAAAAGATTGACATCATGGAGGTAGCTCCCTAGGTCACCTAGGGTATTTTTTAATGTTTGATATGCGTTCCATTTTCCACAGAGCGAAAACTTTTTCAACTGTTGTAACCAAACAGGGTAGTTATCAAATTTTTATATGTATTTTCTATCTACGGGTAATGAGCCCGCGTATGGGTATAAGGTTGTGAGGTACTGAGGCAAGCCTCTGTCTTCCATGTCACATCAATTCTAATACGAATTCAACGCGTCTGCTGAACAAGACAAACAACTGTTATTTATTTTCCCTTTCTCATTTATTTTTTCAAACACCTTGCCATCAGTTTTACAGGAAAGAACCTGTAATCTAGGCGGCAGGCCCCAATTCATGGACTTAAAAAGCTCAGCATAGGTGAAAACTCGCAATGCTGCAAATATGAAGAATTTACGAACAGATGTTTGTTTAACTAAGTTTCTTCGGTCAGTGTCCTCTACTAGCAAGACGTTAATCAATAAACACCTTAATGCGACATTTCCCCTTTGTTAATAGTTCCACCGAGTCCAACTATGTCTTTCTGCTCTCAGACTACATCGGTCCGTTATGAAAACTCAATAGGAATACGCCCTCTTTTCAGGGGATAATACACAGCTGTACGTAGAAGTAAAAAAACTCATCCAGCAATTGACCCAATCCCCTCTACTTTTATTAACTGGGCTGCCTCAAGGTACGCCCTTAGTTCATAAAATGGGTAGTTTTCTTTGTCAAAAAATGAACACTATCACTTATTAACCCACTAACCCAGAGGGCGTTGCGTGAACCTGTGATAGATTTTACTTGAAACCAATAGGACTCCAACAGTAACGGGCTTCAAGACCGATACACTTGCCAAAACATTCGGACTTTAAAACGGAATACTAGTCCTCGACAAAAATTACGATTCTCTCAAAAGTGTACTGTAATCAAAAATCTATTCTCAATCGAAAAACTACTCAGTTCAAAATGTCACATGATCACGTGCTCCAAACGTGATCGCCTACCTTTAAGACCAAAAATGTCACGCGCGACGAAATGTAACACAAAAACTCCGTGACAGATCCTTTAAAAACTAATTAATAATTCAAAAGCCCATTGACCTATCAAATAGTCGATCATACATCACGTGCAGTGACTTTATATCGATAAAACCTCCCCTTATTAGTATGCGGTGTTTTATCAGATATAAAGTCACTGCACGTGACTTATACTTATGAATATTAATTATCAGCACAACAACTGATACAACAAATGGTGGGTGAATATTTAATGTTCTTTCAAAATAACACACGACGTAAATTTACTATTGCACAAAATCAAACTTCGTTCTTTCACCAATTTTATCAGCCAAAAGGTCAGTGACTCAGCGGTAATATTCGGTATAGTAGTGTCCAAGCGTTGCACTTAAGGTGGCTCGATTGGATTTTTTAGGGGGGATACCTCCCACGTTTGAGCATTAACTACGCCGGCATGAGTAAAGATATGGGAAAAAGATTACCACAACTGTATGATATAAAGATGAAGATTTCTTGTGATCTGGGTTTTATTATTTATTAACGGAGTCGCCATGGCAACGCAGTGACGCCATTACGTATTTTTATTTATCTTTGTGTTTCTCTGTACCAGGAGTTTTGGAAGAAACCGCTTAAGGGAGTATGTACCTGCCATAATTGCCTCAATTATTGCAAAGTTTGAACAAATTCTATGGGAGCGTTTTGGAAATATTTTGAAACGAAGTTTTAAGAATCATAAAAAAGTTAAATAGCATACTATCTACACAATTAGCTAACATTTTAAGAAAATGATAAGCTTTGAAAAAGCGGCTTCATCGCATAGTAGTTTGATTCCATTGAAAACTGCGTACAAAAAAAGAAGAGAATTGCTCTGGGCGATCGCGAGTAAGAAGAATTTTATTAACCTGCATTCAGCAGCTTTTGTTAAAGTTTTTGCATGCAATTTGGTACATGCCTACCAATTTCGCATTATTCAGAAAACCGCTCGATAAATTTTCTTAAAAACTACACAATTCCGAGATCAATTGTCAATAAATATACCCTGTAAGTTTCAAGAACATTGAAAACTGGGAAGGCTTTTAAATGAAGCTTCAAATATAACCAACTGTCCTCATTATTCACTGGCATTGTTTTCAAGCTTCATATGCACGTGCACGAATATAAACAAGGTCATATAAGAGACGTCAAACTAAATAGTTTGAATAAGCGGGTAATGCTTTGCAGTGCTTTAAAGTAGCCATTGTCCTTGCAATCAAGTTCTCAAAATCTTTTGTTGATGTAGAGTCTTTAGTATTTAGAAATCACAACGAAAGAAATTTTAATTTGCCCTACCACCGATCATCAACAACAAATCGTTTCGCTTTCCGAGAAGAACGAAAGACTGGAAACAAATAACTCTCTCTAATAATTTCCTCGTTGGCATCTCAAGAACTGAAACTGAATATTCGAATCTTAAACTAGGAAATGTAAATGGCTAGATCAACGTACTCACCAAGAAATCTGTCTCACCAGATCGAGAAGGAGAAGTACCAAAAGGAAAGAGAAAATTGAAAACTCTGGGACTGCCCCTGCAGTAAGAAATATGGCCCCATATGTTAATGATTCCCCAAAAGAAACACCCTAGCCCCTGATATACAGCGTTTTCACTAACGTGGCTAGCATTTATGCAAATTTATTGGAGCAAAAGAAAGCGTTTACATAAGAAAAGGGTTCAACCCCCACAGGACTTGTTTGGTACACTAACATGGCCGCCGTTTCATTGTTTTGGAACACCAATATGGCCGCCGTGACGTCATGAGAAAACGCTCTTTTAGATACACGACGTGTCGCGAGGCAGCATGTCCTACTGATGAATCTTTTGGAACTTTCATACCAGGGGCACCCAACGACTTTTTTCTGTAAAATTTGTTGGAAAGAGCAAATATTGCCTGGAAATCTCTCAAACCTGGGAAAGGCTAGCCTGTTCCCATGTCCTCTATTTTCTCTTTTAAGATCGTCGAGCGCGCGTATGAAAATAGAAATCGCGGGGATTTATTAACCGCAAGCGAATATTGGGAACTATTCTTGGTGTTAAGGGGAACTCAAACTATTCACTTTCCTCCGAAGAAGTTTGTGGCGCCTGACTTGCTATGAAGTTCTCAACGGCTGTTTCGGTGTGCAAGGTTAACGAACCCA